CACATGATTTCCTATTATTAAGCAGGGATATTCCCCAAATTTTCTGGAATTTACTAATTTACCCCAAGTTCTGATTGGCTTATAATTGATTATGCTTATTTATAACATCCGATAGCGTGACAAATAAGCATAACCACGCCGGTGATAAACCACCTAACCCTAACCCTAACCTCAATTATACCAGCCAATCGGAGCTTGGGGGTAAATTAGTAAATGAAATTTTCTGTACTGCCAACAACTTCTAAAAGATAAGTTTAAAAAAAGAGCTAAGAATCTTATCCCGAACACTTTGTTGTTTAAACTTAACCTTAGTTAAGTGAAAAGAAAAAAAAAAAAAAAAGAAATTAAAAAAGGGCTGCGATTTTTCTCACGGTAAATTATGCAATTACAATTTGAAACATTTTGAACTTGAAATATTGGTTTTGTACTATGTGTCATGCATTTATGTACTTTTTGAGGAAATTAGTAAATCATGCTGGCATACTTTCTATAACCCCATTAAATTTATGGTCATAAAAAAAAAGGAAATAAAAAAAAGAAAAATGACAAACAACTTTAATTTTTTTTTACGCCATGACTTTTTCGATGATAATAAAAGGTAATATTTTTTTTGATCTTCACAACAAATATCCACAGGTTACAAACAAAAGGCATCATAACGCTTCGGAACAAAGAAATTATTGGCTGTTGCTTCATGTTACTTTGTTCCGACTCCTTTTTGGAAAATTTACGATTAAAACGTCCAATGATTTACGCGTAATATTAATAGTTTTTGACATCTCCTTGATTTCTATTCCAAATTAAGTTTAATTCAAGTGTAAAACCCCCGTTACCAAAAAGTTCTTTAGAAACTTCAGAAACATTGAAATCGTGTTACTTTTAATATTTAAATGAACGGCGCTTGTTGCACTTGTAAAAGTAAAAAAAAAAAAATAAAATAAATTTCTCACGGACTAAAACTTTAATAATTTCAACGACCATTTTTCTTATTTTAACGTAATATTCACCATCAGAAATTCATAATGGGTAGTTGTATTTCCTCTTCTTCACAAAAACAAACAAACCGAGATGTTGGTGTTAGTTCTGCAACATACTCGCAAACAACAAATAAAACTGTCAATAACCGTTTTCACGAAAATATTAATGAAGTTAGTTCTCCCAAGGATAATGCTAGAAAAGCTAAAGTTGTTAAAAGACCGAAGAAAGTTCATAAAGGTCTCATTGGTCTTCCTTCCAACTTTCAACATACTGGTCATATCGGTATCGCTGAACTGCGTAGCGGTAAAGTTGATGTAGGTATCGTAATTTTCGATCAATTTAAATTATTATTGATTAACGTTAATGTTCTTTTTTTTTTTTTTTTTTTTAATTCAGCCTGAGAAAATTAAAAGTCAAATGGCTGAAGTTGCAGCCGCTCTTAGTTTAGAAGGTTTGAATATGGGATCGTCAATTCCAACAACCCCGCTTAATAATGTTAATAATAAACAAAAGACATCACCAGCAGCTAATATGAATAAACAAAGACTTAGCTCATTGACATCTGTATCAGAACAACAAGTTGTTACCAATAATAATTCTAACAATGTTAATAATGGTAACAGTTCAACTTTTTCTCAAAACGATCCTCAAAACGATCCTCAATTTAAAGTTAAGGTAAACCTAATTTTGATTGAAAGTAAAAAAGGAATTTTGATTACCATATAATTTATTTATTTGTTTTTCTTTCGCAGAGAAAACCCACTTTAACTTCGGTTTCTTCACCGGTGCCTCGGCCATCATCGCCTCCATTAAATACTATAGGCGATCCAATGGCTGAAATTGTAGCTGCACTGAAAATGCCAATTGATGGAAATTTTGGTAAACAAAATGATCAAAAATTGGTTGTTTAATTCCTTTGTAC